CGGGAGGGCGGGGGCTCTGACATTTGTATTTTTAATCATGCCACTTCTGTGTTCATTAGATAGATTGTCATAGGGTGTGTATGTGACACACTGTTTATTCAGCCTATAGCAAAAGTTGGTGCTCCTGTGGGTTTTCAAAAGCTTTGCAATAACTCTGAGATGCCCCAGGATGGGATACAGGAGAGCTCCACACTCTTATAAGAGCCCCAGACACCATCATGCGTGCCCATGAGAATTCTCCGCTCCTCCGGCTTGTCTCCCTGCAAGCTACTTTTATTTTGACCTCAGTTTTGCCTGTGTTCCGGATGTCACTTTTGGCCCAACAGACGTTACTGGTTTGCCACCTCTTATTATAACACCATGCTGCCTTCTTCACTCAGGACCAGCAGAGTGAGAACATGACTCAGAGCCGGGTTGCAGGGGAAATGTCATTGCTAGGGTTCTTGCCTCTACAACACAGGAGAAGGCTGGGAGGACGTGGGGAGCCAGCCCACAGCATCCTCTGCCCCGGCCACTTTACTTTTGCCCCTCGCTGGAGGTCTTGGAGTCTTGCCCAGACTTTCTGGGACCTTGCTAATCCAGAGGGATCTGGCTTCCAAAGAATGCTAGTGTTGGCATCTCAGAAGAGGACCAACTCGCCTTGCAACTCCTTGCGGCCTCCCAGATCCGGCCAGAAGACTCGGGCGCCGGCCCTCTGCACCCCTCCCACGAGCCGCGCTTTTGGGGTTTTAGCCATAAATTCTTTCCATAGGTCAATGTCTATAAGACTTTCTCCTAGAAGAGTTTTCTTCAAGGATTTTTATGGTTTCAGGTCTGATATTTAAGTCTTTAATCCATCTAGAGTTAATTTTTGTCTTTGAGGAGAGATAGGGATCAAGTTTCATTTTTCTGCGTGTAGTATCCAATTTTCCCAGCATTTGTTTAATAGGGTGTCCTTTCTTTGGTGTATGTTTTTCTCTGCTTTGTCAAAGATCAGTTGGTTGCAGGTATTTGGTATTTGGGTTTATTCTGGATTCTCCATTCTCTATTCTCTATTCTGGTTCAATTGTCAGCTCTTGTACCAGTCCCACGCTGTTTTGGTTACTCCAACCTTGTAGTATAACTTAAAGTCAGGTAATGTTATGCCTCCAGATTTGTTCTTTTTGCTTAAGACAGTTTTGGCTATTCTGGCCCTTTTTTGGTTCAATATGAATTTAGGATTTTTTTTTTTTTTTCTGATTCTGTGAAAAAAAATGACATTAGTAGTTTGATAGGGATTACATTGAATCTGTAGATTACTTTGGGTAATATGGTCATTTTAATAATGTTGACTCTTCCAATCCATGAGCATGGGATTTTTCTCCATTTGTTTGTGTCCTCTGCAATTTCTTTCATCAGAGTTTTGTAAGTTCTCCTTGTAGAGATCTTTCACTTCCAAAGATCTTTCACTTCCATGGGTAAATATTTTCCTAGATAATTTAGCTTTTTGTCTGCAATTGTAAATTGAATTAATTTCTTGATTTAATTCTCAGCTTGGGTGCCATTTGTATATAGCAGTGCTACTGATTTGTGTGTGTTGATTCTGTATCCTGAAACTTTACTGAATTCATTTATCAAGTCCAGGATTCTTTTGGAAGTGTCTTTTTAGGGTTCTCTAGGTATAAAATCATATCACTGGCATACAAAGATAGCTCAATTTCTTCTTTTTCAATTTCGATGACTTTATTTCTTTTTCTTGCCTGATGGCTCTGGCTAGGACTTCCAGTAGTGGTGAAAGTAGGCATCCTTGCCTTGTTCCAGTTTTGAAGAGGAATGAACTCTTCTCTGTTCAGAATGACACTGGCTTTGTGTTTGTTGTATATAGCTTTTATTATTTTGAGGAATGTTCTCTCTATGCCTGTTTTGCTGATGGTTTTTATTATGAATGGATGCTGAATTTTATCAAATGCTTCTTCTGCATCTATTGAAAGAATAATATTCTTGGTTTTAGTCCTGTTTATGTGGTGGATCACATTTATTGACTTGTATGTGTTGAATCACTCTTGCATCCGAGATAAAACCCACTTGGTTGTGGTGTATTATTATAATTTTTTATGTGCTGTTGAATTTGGTTTGCTATTTTCTTTTCTTTTTTTTTAGTCAGAGTCTCACTCTGATGACCAGACTGGAGTGCAGTGGCAAGCTCATGACCACCACAACCTCGACCTACTGGGCTCAGATGATGCTTCCACCTCATCCTTCCAAGTAGCTGAAACTACAGGTGTGTGCCACCATGCCCAGTTAATTTTTAAATTTATTATGGAGACGATGTCTTGCCATGTTGCCCAGGCTGATCTTGAACCTGTGAGCTCAGGTAATTCTCTCACCTCTGCCTCCCAAAATGCATGAGATTGCAAGCGTGAGCCACTATATCTGGCTTGCTAATATATATATGTGTATATATATATATCTTTTAAGGGTTTTTTGTGTCTATATTCATAAGAGATAATGGTCTGTAGTTTTCTTTGTTGTTGTTGCTATTGTGTCTTTTCCGGTTTGGTATCAGAGTGATACTGGCCTCAGAGAATGGATTAAGGAGGAGTATCTCTTCATTCTTGTAGAATGGCTTCAGTAAAATTGGTACCAATTCTGTTTTGAAGGTCCGGTAGAATTCAGCTGTGAGTCCATCAGGTCCTAGACTTTTTTGCTGAGAGACTTCTAATTATTGTTTCAATCTCACTACTCATTATTCATCTGCTCAGGGTTTCTATTTCTTCCTGATTCAAGGTTGGGGGGTTATATGTTTTCAAGAATTTATCTGTTTCTTCTATATTGTCTAGTTGGGTTGCATAGAGGTGTTCATAATGGTTTCACATAACATTTTGAATTTCTACCATGTTAATTGTAATATCTCCTTTTTCTTATCTGATTGAAGTAATTTGAGTCTTTGTTCTTCATTGCTTAATTAGTCCAGCTAGTGGTCTATCAATTTTATTTATTTTTTCAAAGAACCAACTTTTTGTTTCATCGATCCCTTGTATTTTTTAAAATTTCAATTTCATTTAATTCTGCTCTGACCTTCATTATTTCTTTTCTTCTGCTAGCTTTGGGTTTGGTTGGTTCCTTGAGGTGTGATGTTAGATTATTAATATGCGATCTTTTAGTCTTATTAATATTGGTCTTAAACACTATAAGTCTTCCTCTGAGCTGGTGCTTGATATCATTTTGATTTTTAAAAATTTATTGATACTTGATTTGTGGCCTATCATATGTTTTTTTACTGGAGAATGTTCCATTGCTGATGAGAAAAATGTATATTCTGTAGTTTTGGGGTGGAATGTTTTGTTGATGCCTGTTAGTTCCATTTCCTCCAGAGTTCTGTTTAACTCAAATATTTCTTTTCTGACTTTCTGCCTTGGTGATCTGTCTATTGCTGTCAATGGAGTGTTGGAATCTCCCACTATTATTTTATTGCTATCTCTCTCTCTCTCTTTTTTAGGTCTAGTAGTATTTGTTTTATAAAGCTGAGGGTTCTGGTATTGGATGCATATATATTTAAAATTGTTATGTGTTGGGAGTCGGCCACGGAGGCCCACTGAGCGTTAGGGATCAGGAAGGGTCGTTGACCCTGAGACCACTAAGATGTGTTCGGGAGCTGTTGACCCATTCCCTCCTTCCTTTTCCATTTGGTACAAACTACCAAGAAAAGCTCCAGCTGGCTCTAACAGAAAACTCTGAGGCCGGAACGTACACAGCTAAACCTAGGAGTCTATTGTTCCCATTCTCCATGGCTTATGGTCTTTTGCTTTATCACAATTTAAGTTTGACTTTGAGTCACATTGAGGAGCCTTAGTGCAGGTCACAGGTTCTCTTGATGTGACCTTTAGAAATTTATAGATATAGGTTTTAGAAAATAGTTTATATAGATTAAGAAAATTTAAGTAACCATTTTATTATAGAAGTCTGGTTAGTTCAGTTTGATTGGGGGGGGGCAGTGAAGTTTGAATTAGATCAGCTGGTGCTAGGAGAGTGTAACTATAGCAGCAATTGTTTTAATAAAAACTAGTTTAAATTAGTACATAGTAGTGGAAATTAATAATTCACTATGGTGGTTTTGGGTTTAGACACTGAGTGATGTTAATTCAAGATGATGTAGTTGTAATACAATTAAGGGCACATAAGAAACTGGTTTGGGGAACATTAAGCTAGCATAAGATACAAAAAGACAATTTGTGGTTGTTCTTCCTCATGTTCTTCCTTATGTATGAAAGAACATTAGCTTGAGTGTGGGGGCTGTCCTTTGTGCACCTGGACCTGTTCATATGAAAGGCACATGCTACCTTTGTTTCCTGTGATGATAACTTTGCAGAGTTTGGGGATAAAAGCCCTGGGATAGCATTCAATAAATGGCTTCTGGTCACCTGAGCAGGAGTCCAGTCTCTTTCTTCCTCCCCCCTTTCTTTCTCTTTATATCTATCCCTCCAGTTTAAATCACTGACGCCGTCACACCGCCAGAGACCTCCGATCCCTGCAGGGGCAGGACCCCTGCAGTTATGTCTTCTCTTTGGATTGATCTCTTTATCATTATATAATAGCCATATTTGTGCTTTTTTTTTTTTTTAACTGTTTTATCTGACATGAGGATGGCTACTCTTGCTCATTTTTAGTTTCCATTTCCCTGGAATGTTTTCCCCTACCTCTTTACCTTGAGTCTATAGGTAGTCTTTGTGAGTTAAGAGGGTCTCTTGAAAGCAGCAGATATTTGGGTTTTTAAAAAATCCATTTTGCCAGTCTATATCTTTTTATTGGGGGCATTGAGACCATTTACAGTCAGAGTTAGTAATGTATGTAAAGTACTATTCTAGTCATCATACTGGTATTATCTGGTTGCTTTGCTTATTTATTCTTTCTATTGTATTGGTGTTCCATAAAGCCTGTGAACTTTATAATTTATAGCATTTTTCTACTGGTGTGTATTTTGCACTTTTATTTCTTTATTTAGGACTCCTTTGAATATTTCTTGTAGAGCAGTCTAGTGTTGACAAATTTCCCGAGTATTTACTTGTCTACAAAGGACTTGACTTCATTTCTCCTTCATTTATGAAACTTATTTTTTGGAATACAGAATCCTTGACTGACAGTTATTCTGTTTGAGTAGATTGAAGATGGGGTTCCGGTCCCTTCTGGCTTGTAGAGTTTCCTTTGAGAAGTCTGCTGTCAGTCTGATAGGTTTACCTTTGTGAGTTATTTGGTGCTTTTGTCTCACTTCTTTTAAAATTTTTTCCTTCACATTAACTTTGCATAGCCAGATGATTATACGCCTTGGGGATGACCTTTTTGCAATGAATCTTCTGGGAGTTCTTTAAGCGTCTCCATTCCTTTTTACTGTCAAATAATATTCCACTGTGTGATATGTCATATTTTATTTATTCGTTCATCAGTTGATGGACACTTGGGTTGTTTCTACTTTTGGATTGTCATGAATACTGTTGCTATGAAAATTCTTGTACACATTTTTGTGTGGACATCATTTTCAATTATCTTGGGTATATACCTAAGAGTGGAATTGCTGTGTCATTTAGCAACTCTGTGTTTAACCTTTGGGGGAACTGCCAGATCATTTCCAACAGCAGCTGCACCATTTTATATTCTCACCAGCAGTGTATGAGGGTTCCAATTTCTCCAATCCTCGTCAACATCTGTTATTATCTGTCTTTATAATTATAGTCATCCTTGTGGGCATGGAGAGTATCTCATGGTTCTAATTCACATTTTCTTAATGGCTAATGATGTTGAGCACTTAGTCATTTGTTTAT